CAGGTGCACATAGAGTACTCACCTCTCCATCAGCTGGAGCTGGCCCACCTTCCATCATCACTCGTAGGTTGGGAATCTCGGAGCTGTACAATGGAAAAGAGTACAAGATTTTCTCAGACATTTCAAACTGAGTTTGGAAGAAAAAAATTTAGCAAAACTAGTTGCTTTATATTATTGTATTCGCAAGTATCCATAAACAAAGAAAAGGTTCTTACTAAAATAAGGCTTAGCAAAATGTTATTGGTATTTTTTCGATGTGGACAATGAACAAGATGTGATTTTCTTTAAAAATCATTGATAAAATGTCAGGGATCTCATAGAATTGTAACTTCTTCAGGCAAACACATCACATTATAATATTTTTCAGAATTCAGCAAAAGAAGAAAATACGTTACGAGGTTGCAAAGCGATCAAGGAGCATCATGCTCAACATACCATTGGCAGAATCATGACAGATTATCCAAATTCTTCGTACTAGACAAAGCACCTACAAACATGTTAACAAAATACAGAGGGCTGAATGTACCTCGATCTCACTGGAATGACACCGACAGTTGACACTTTTGGCTTTCTCATTTCTAGGGAGAACAAAACAAAAAAGAACAAAAATGAGACTACACACAACATGGCAGGAGAGCATAAGTTAGACTATATAATGCCTTCTCGTGGTTAAAAATGTGCCTATAACAGACCCAAATTTGGGAAACAGGGTTCCTGCCATGAACTTCCCATCACATTCAAGGAGGTTTCAAGGAGAAATTTTTAAAATTCAAGGAGGTTTGGTCAAGAAATTCATGACGAAAGCCTATTTTCCATAGGCCTACACTTGTCGGAAAGGAATCATATCATAGTTTCGATTTTCCAAAAAAACTGTTCCCAGGGTGACTGTCAACCCCGCTTCTCAATTTTCCAGATGGGCTCATCCATTCTCCAGGGGCATGTTACATAACAATGACAGTGCATGCTCCATTTATATTTTATATATAATATATACACACGCGCGCGTGCGCACACATGTAGGCACATTATATCCAGTCAACAACATGTCAGTGTTGTCACTGGGATACTGTGTGACTTAGGTATTTCAGTCTGTTCTTATACTTATTTATATTTTCCCCTCATCATATTCGCCTATATAAATTATATAAAAATGAACCTTGCTTTGAGCCTGAGAAAAGGTCTAGAACCAGAATATCAACCGTCAAGAACCAGTTTGGGAGTCAAAGTTTACATAATAAACGTGAAAGACAAAAATTATAGCTCAAACTCAAAGTAGTGTAATGACATGAATGGCTCAAGAAGACATATTCAGTGTGAGAGGTATAAGAACTAACTGTGGGAGGGCAAGATGCAGTGACACTGAAAATCTGCGAATCTTGAACAGAATGCTAAAATATAGAATATAGTACATAATTTACTATCACCTGCCCAATGAAACGGGAACCCTTTACTTTAAAAAAACCCACAGCTTACAAGGTTTGAGTGAGACAGATCCTGATTCCACACAAGAGTTGCACCAACACGCGCTTTGCAGAGAGACCAAGATCTAGATCTAAATCTAGATCTAATAGCAATCAAATTAAAATTCTGAAAAGTAAAATCTGCTTCCAAGTTCAGTTTTTGTCATCCGGTGTTGCCTTCAACCCCATCCCGCCAACCCCCTCCGATCTGGCAAAATTCAAGGGGTTTTCAAGGAGATTTTTCCTTTTCCTTGAATGCAAATTCAAGGAGTTTTCAAGGAGATTTTTCCTTGAATGCAAATTCAAGCAGTTTTCAAGGACTCCTTGAATTCAAGGAGGCTGCGGGAACCCTGCGGAAAAGAAGGTTTTAATGGCGCAAAACAGGTGAATCACCATATATACCTAAAGATTTCCCTTTTAAATTTCACAAACTTTCCTGTGAATTCAAGTAATTACAAATTTGATTTGCTTTAAGTGTGGGTATGTTTTTGTTTTGTTTTTGTTTGCGTGTGTGTGTGTGTGTATGTGTGTGTGTGTGTGCGTGTGTGTGTGAGTGTGTGAGTGTGTGCAAATATATGTATGTGTATGTGTGTTAAATGAGTGCGCCTTTCTGTGTGTCTTTGAGAGAGTGTGTGTATGTGCATGTCTGTGTGTTTGTGTGTGTATGTGTCTAAAAAAACAACCCTCAAGGCAGATATGAAGCTTTCCCAACAGACCTACCAATAAAAGCATAGACACTAGAGAAGGAACAAATAAAGAAGAAAAAATGTTCCCACTGGTACCTCTATCAGAAACCAAACTACACTGAACTGACCTTCAGCTGTTGTTAATTTTTTATGGACATATGGGTATTTCCTGGATCTGGACTCAAGAATGACTTTTGGACCAGCGTCCACTGGAGAATATGCTGGGACCATTGGCATCACCAGGTACTGGTCCTGCACAGAAGGAACAAAGAGATTTCATGAAAGATGTCCCACTTCTCAGGTACCTCATGTCAGAAAAAAAGCATGAGACGATTTTAACATAATAAAAAACATAAAGGCTAATGATAAGCAAACCTAGATGGAAATATCCTTGTTTAAGAAAATACTTCATCTTCAGTCTTCATGGTATGTGATAAAAGAAAGACAAATGATGAAACAAAACAAAGAATAAAAATTGTGTCAAGACGTGGTGGAATCTGCTTGTCTATTTTCGAGCTTATGGAGTTATTGGTATCATCTTAAAGCCTATTCATTTGCATTGCTTTGGATGAAAAAAATATCCATTTATC